AGGTGGAATGAGATACGTGGAAATTAACACACGTCTCCTTCCATCAAAAAATAAAATAAAATAAAATAATTTCTGTTAAAGTTTCCCGTAAAAGACCTCCGGGGAGGCAACCTCCCCGGCAGAGTGCCCACGTATTGCTTTGCAGCATACCAATAAAACAATCTAAACTTTTTTCCAGTCAGCTTCTTTACATTTATTCTAATTAAAGCGAAAAAATTGGCAATTTTACAAACCGCGCACTTATGGCACTTAAATATGCACTTAGTGCAAATGAAAGTCTGACCGTGACTACCCTCGGCACGTGACTACCCTCTATCTCCAAACCCCTTGACTTTTAACCACCAAAATTTAATAGCATCGATGCCCCTTATGTACAAGTTACCGTGCCAAATTTCGTTTATTAATCACTACCCCATCTTGAGATATTAAATGAAATAGATGCCGAAACACACACACACACAGAAACCCAGAATTTTTGGGTTCAGGGGTCTCAAAATATGAAGATTTGTAAAAATCCCATAGGGTTAAATATGACACTATTACAATACTTTTCCGTGTTATAACAACTGGGAAAGTAATTGTAATTTTCTTTAAGTAAGCAGTCGATTTGTTACATCAAGTTGTATTAAATTACAAATACTATTGTTTAGCGCCGTTTTGTTTCGTTAAACTAAAATAAAAATGCTTATTACGTCGATAAAAATAACCAAACAACTTTTATAACTCTCATTATATTCAATATTATATGTATGGAGTTGTAAAATATGGCGCAACTTCTGTTACGTTTGTTCTCATTTTAAATAAGTATAATTTATTAAACAATAAATGTCGAGTAACAATATAATAGTGATAAAAATCCAAATTAACTGCAATTACCTATAGCAGATTTACATTTATTGTCGCAGAAAATCTAAAACAGAAACAGCTGCGTCACCCGAAGCTAAAATATTAATACAAATGTTTAATACAAATGTACGAAACCCATAAAAATTCGAGGCTCTGTACAGTACATGTAGGCTAAACAAACTAGAGCTTCGAGCCTACTTCTATTTTAAGCCTCGTGCCCTAAAATTCGTTTGATAGAGAAAAAGGGCGTGTTACGTGTTATAGCTTAGAGAACAATGAGTTTAAATCCGGTTGTGGAGAGACCCTAGGCTAAAATTTAGGTTACTTATGCCTAAAATCCGTATTGCATAAAGCCCACCGGTGGCCGAACCGTTTATGCATAAAATCATGGAATATTGAGTTGGCGAGATCTTGTATGGGGCCCGGAAGTAGAGCAAGCCCCTTTAACCTTTAACCGTTTGCGTTTTGGTAAAATGAAGTCTTACAGATTTTATTTTCTATTACTAAAAAAGACGTTAATTCAGTGGCGCGCTATTGTTTCACGTGGCCCCAGGAAAATTATTAAATTAGGGGGCCCCACACGCAGTGTTGACTTCAAACATTTTTCTTCGGAGGAATTTTTAGGAGAATCTCCTGGTATCTTCATTCGTTTTTTAACGCGACCTCTGCGCCGTGCACTTTGCACCTGCTTCACACGGGCAATCCAGGATCCCAAATGTGGCACCAAATTTAAATTTCGATATTCTTACTACATTAATTAATTAATAATTTTATGAAAGATTAGTTTGCGGCCCACCAACAGGGGGCCGCAAACTAATCTTTCATAAAATCAAAACCGCAAAAGGAGAGCCCAGGCAATTGCCCTTTTTTATGTAGGATAGCGCGCCACTGCGTTAATTTTAGAACACCTACTGCTAGAACCAGTAGAACCCCTAATTTTTCTTCGGCCCGGAGAAAAGTTCCCCCTTCCGGGTCCACTTGGAATTTTCCTGGTTTACTTCGTGTCTAATGCCTAAAGATGTGCCAATATCCCACAGAAAGTCCTCCAGGGAGGCACCCTTTGGCAGATGGTCCATGTGTCGCGTTATACCTTATCACATCACACCAATTAACCAAGAAAACCAGTGCGTAAATCTAATTCCTCTCAATTTCGGATGAAATTTCGAATTACAGTCGTGTATGTAACCTATTAACACCCTTTATACCTATTGCTACTTTTCCTAAATCACGTTTCATATTTAAATTCTTTATATTTACAGTCCAGTTTATCGAAAAACATAAGAAATATGTAAAATAATAATTTAAAAATATGCTTATTTTTTGTTCGCTGTTAATTAAGAGATGGAGAATGTGTTGGGGAGATAACAAGAAAATCGGAAGTGCGATTTTATCTGTGGAAGAGGAAGACATAATTGCTTTCTCCTGACGTTATCTCTTCCGTTTTCCTCAGTTTGTTTAGAGATTGCACCAGCGACAGGTTTATAAATTAGAAAATAAACTTTATGACCATTAATTAACGGCAATTATTAATTAAAGAGCAGAAACTGGAATTCGAAACTGAAGTAAACTATTGATGAGTGTACCAGAGGATCTGAGGAATCAGAGTTCGAATCCTTATCGGATTTTCAGAAACATTCGTGGATAGCCTTTTCCCGGTAATTCTGGCCCCCTTGGCCATCCTACTGCCCATTGTGGATTTGGCCCAACCCATTACGAACACAATATAAGGTGTGTTAGTGTCATCAGAGCCGAAAGAGTTCGTGAAAACTATTATTCGTAAGCTAAAATAGTGAAAAATTATCAGGGAGGTCTCGGACTTAAGAAGGGCCAAGGCCTTTCCCGTCATAGAGCTTGAAAGTAATCTCAAAATTCCAAATTCGGGGTCGTATTGTTACGATAATTTTCGATGTTTTGATTAAAATTTCGACAAAGTTTGCTAATTTAGTCGCCTGTGCTGAGTTAGAAGAAAGAGTTAAAATTTCCTCCGATACCCATTTTCAGCTCTTACGAAAGGGGAAGAAGGGAAGAAGATTATGCCGTAGTAATGGGGCATGGGTCCTTACAGGGGCCCGAAATCCCATTGTTTTAAGTAAATTTCTTTGTTTCTTTTCAAGGACATATCACTGTAATATGTGGAGGAGAGAATGTGCCTGGCCGAACCCATGACTTGCTAAAAAGATACCCTCCTGTGCTCACAAGACCAAGATTTTAAAAAAGAGTGGTTTTATCAGGCACCTACTGTCTTTCCACGGGGCTGTCCGTTTTAATCTGGATTGTCGTATCAGTAATACATGAAACACGCAGTACTTAAGTAACTTTTTCTATGTTGTAGTACACAGGTGTAATCTTTTATTGTTTTATTCGTTTACGACAACGTGCACTTGGACGATCTGTCAAGAGGTAACACTTTCCGGGAGGTCTTTTATGGGAAACTGGCCCTATTTAGGTGTTACTAACGTGAAGAAAACCCGGAAACCTCCACGTGTCCGGCCCGTTGACCAGGCGCGAACCCACATACCAACTATCAGTGTTCGGTAGTTTTATCCACGCGACTACTGGTTGGGCCACAGGCGTGAGCAGCCCGAAATTTGGCGTATCGACGAAATATTTCCAAGATTGAAGGAATGGATCGCGACCAACGAAACCCAAAAATATTCTATTAAAACAGCTAGTCTCACTTGGATGACGATTTTTGTCATTTGGAAGTGTCGAGTGACAGTTGTTTTTCCAACTTTGAAAGGCACAAATGTTCACAGCTGTTCAAGTTTTTCTCGCAATTGCACAATTCGTTCCTCGCTACAAACACATTATTTATACATCGTAATGTCGATACGCCATATTTTCGTCTCAAACAGAAGAAAAAACAACAAGAGAGATCATTGGCCTAGACGAAAAAAAATTATGTTCGTCCGTCCACCAATAAGGACAAACGATCCGCGACGATAATTTTCCACTCACTTTTTCACAGATTTGGATTTAGAAATATAATTTTTACTGGTGTATTACAAGTGTTTTTCGACGTACAATACGCGTCCAATTGCGCGTTGTACGTGGCAATCCAACACCAACCTGGCTGCAGAATGATATCGCATCTGCAGTCTAGAACGGTGCCACTAGCTCAAAGTTTTTGTTGCTAGTGGCAACATAATTTTTGGTGCCACAACCACTCGCCATAAATGAGATTTGTGAAGGATTTCTACACAAAAATATAGGTTATAAACAGTGTTTTTAAAAAGGTTAGAAATGATCATTTTAAAATCATTTTTTTGAAATTTTGTGGCACACTTTTCTCGCACACCTGTCGATAAGTGGATATTCCACAGATGTCCATCATCTACACTTTCTACGAACGTTTGAGACATAAAACATACACAACTCAGTGTAAAACCATCAAAGATAACAATTCAGACAGAGCAATCCGCAATCCACTGGATGCGATCCTCTCAAATGTATTATTCTACGACCTCGTACAATAGAAAGAGCAAAGTTTTTATCAGCGATAACCACTAGTAGACTCATTGGTGGATCCGCTATAACTTTGAGAAGCGAGTTGGAAACTGCGTGTAATACACGAACAAAATCTAAATTCAAATTAACACCAGTAAATTATTAAGATACACCTCCTAAATTAGACATTTTGTATTTTAGGCTGCACTTCTATCGCTTCCATCGCTATTTTGAAGTAGCGTAGTGATAGACTTGAGTTGGTACGAAGGCTGTCTTTCATAAATATCTTTGACCTTAAGAATTTTTGCGTATCTCGACGTCCTGAGACGTTCAGAAAAATAGGAAAAAATTCCCTATGTTTGTGTGTGTATTCGCGTCTATTTTGTTTAATATCTCAGAACAGGGTACTTATTTAGAAACGAAATTTGGCACGGTAACTCGTATATAAGAGGCATCGATGCTATTAAATTTTGGAGGTTAAAGATCGAGGGGACGGGGAGATAGAGGGGGTTATGCGTGATATCTCGAGCGGGATCGTTATTTCTATAGATAACAGATACAAGTTTAACACAAGCTCTTGCTCTACAAACAGAACAAGAAAGACTCGTTTGTAATCATAATCACAATTTTCTTCCCCTCTTTACATCGTAAAACAGAGCGTAAAGGGACGAGAGTAGGGCGGTGGGCTACACCAAAAGGAGACTTACCCGACTGACGGTCGATTTCCAAATTCTGATAAGTTTCGTCGCTCTTCAAAGATCGGTACCTCGGTCCTCCTCTCTCCATTCTGTCGACTCGAAAACGTGGGTAGTCGTCGCCAACGTTCCTTCGTCCTTCGTGTGCGGACGGCGACTGGATTGGCGCATGTGTCCAGCGCGTAACGCGACGCGTCTAGGCGCGCAGAGGGTCGACGTTGATCGAACTCTATCCAAACGGAAAGCGACTTCCGCAGCCTCGTTGCCGGATCGCCCGATTAACGGAGAAGTTTTTTGTTTGGATTTAATTTCCAAGTTAATGGCGACGCTAGATTCGTTTAACCGGGAGATAATCGATGAGAGTATCTTTACAACGTTCAAAGTTTCGCCGGAAGGAGATAAAAAAAAAAGCAGAAGATTGTACATCCGATTATTAATTAATATGTTGATATCTATTCCACGTTAGAGTTCGTTCCTGCCTTATGATCGCGGGTTCGGACCTCTCGCTTCTGCGCGAGTATTTGTTCGCCTAATACTTTAATGGGAAACGAAGTTACAGCGTTAATTAATAAATTGATCTGGTAGCATTACTTAGTACAGTATTTAAAACAAAGGGGGTCCTCGAAACGCTTGATCTACCACTGAGGGTCACCTGCACCCTTCTAGATGTCTAGTCTGGCGGTTAAACAGAATCGTCCAGATGGGAAATTTTCCCCGGTCCTGAAGGAAGTGAAGCCCGAAGTCATTCCTTCCCCTATAAAATTAATCAAATATGTAAGTTGTTGCTATGACAACGCAACACTTGGGCGATGCCTTCCGGGAGGTTTTATAAAGGAAAAATGGCCCCTATTTAGGTAATACAGACGTGGAGAAAACCCAGAAAATTCAAAGTGACCAGTCGGTTCGAGAGAGACGCGAATCCACAAACCAAACTCCCAGTGTTTAGGGTACGAAGACCGCTTGGCCACTGGTGGGCTAAATATGTAAGATTGCTTTTTATTAAAGCACATATTTAGCCCACCAGTGGCCAAGCGGTCTATCCCCGGGGCTCCATACAAACTCTACTATGCTTAAGTGCCAGCAGCTTACTACTCGAGCCGTGTGCTCTGGGGACTCTAGGGGAATAGAATTCGGGCGATCGGCTTTCCGGGAACTTTTCTTAGGTATAAGTCCCGGATACATATGGTCCACCCCTTACTACCCGGCCGACTCCATTCCGACTTGGCCGAACTCGCGATGAGTATGGAGAAAAATATTGATAAAAGGGTCCCATTAAAACCCAAATAGCAGAAAGAGCTCTGCACACCAGTTTACGACTGTCCCGAGAAGCCTGCTGTAAAGGCCCATTTAATGATGGCCGAGCGGTTAAGATATGTCGGGCCACGTCTTTCTCCACCCGATCGCCCCATCGTGAGCCTGACCGAACCCATAATGAGCTGGATATAAAGGCCCTCTTAAGTAATAGTAATACAATATTACTGTCGTACAGTATTATTGCCGTATAGTCTTCGGTAATATTTACTAGGCACAGAACAGCACGATCCCTAGCATTGCTATACGAAACCACTGTTTTTGGTGTTTGTGCATTTTTACGTGGGAAGAGAGTTTAGCAAATAAAAAGATTCGTTGTGATAAAAGTTGGAAATTTTGAAACGTAGAGTGCGTTATTATAAACTAAACGCCAGGCAACATTACCGTTCTTTGTTTATACTTTGTCCTGCAACACACGCCATTAAAACGTTATTATTGGTCTTTCTCTTCGAAAAGATTACGGCGACACAGATCACCGCAATCCCAGAAATTAATAGAGAAGTCTTTTTGCTCTGTTTGCCTTGTCGGCACTCAGAGCCTTTTTTCTAGCGAATTCGTTACAGATCCGGCCAGGCCTACAGTGGGAGCGGCCGGATGACGAGAGACGAGACAAATTGCCCACGATTTGTATTACCTAAAATCTACCAAATCGTTTGATTTAAAATTTATTTTTAACTTTCTGCATCACTTTTAGGCATTTATTGCAGAAAAAGAAGTTACTTAAAAGAATAAAACATTATTTGAACGTCGGACATTCGAATTCCTATACAAGTTCAATTCTCTCTCGTGAGGCTTAGCGATCACGTGATGTCAGTGGACCAATTCCAACGTCGAACGTGTAAATACCAATTCGAACGTTAGAACTGCGTAAGAGAAGTGAACAAATTAAGATAAAGGTGCCAAGATAAAAAATGGTAAGTAAAATCTTTATTTTGTGAAATGCATTTTTGTTTATTATTGTACAAGTTAATAATGCTTAAGCATCTTCCCGTGCCCAAACTTTTCTTCTCCATTCTGTTCTGTCTCGACAATCCTCCTCTATCAGTCCTTTGTGCTCCATAGCTTTTGTGACTTCCTCTATCCACGTAGACCGTGGCCTGCCGGAATCCCTTTCAATATCTGTTGTGGTAGTCTACCTTCTTCCGGTAAGATTTACCCTCCGAACATGGCCATACCAGGTTAATTGTTATGAATATACTCGACTATAGAGTTTTGATAATCCATTTTCCCCCCCCCTAATTTCCTCAATTCTCACTTTATCTAGTTTTGAACATTGAGCAGATCTTCTCAAAGTTCATTTCTGTAAATTCTAATTTAGATTTAAATTTTGAATTTAATATTCACATTTCTGCTCTATATGTTATATAAATCATTAGTTGTAGGTGTAATATGCTTATTTTTGTTGTTTTAAAGATTTGTTTATCCCATAAGATTCCATAATAAAACAATATAAATTACACTTTATGCCAACTTTTGAATATATAATAACTACACTTAAGTGTTGTGGCATTACCGATAACAACTTTTAGAGTATGAGAATGTTCGCTAGTACTTTCAGTAGAATAAAGTTACAGTCGTCGGGCGAATATCGAATACAACAGCTACCGAACGCTTTTTTTTTTAAATTAAATATAGCACGTGGATGGAATATAAAATGAATTTGAATTGGAGCGATGTTCTAATAATATGAACATCAATAACGAGTAGTGTAATTTTCCCAAGATTACATCGTGAGCAATAGCATTATAATTTCTTTATTGTTGCCATTATTATAGTATTAATTTCTCAAAAAATTCATCTTTAATTTATTTTCACTGTCACTTAAATATATTCACAAAATTGTAATATTTCTACCAAATAAGAGTTAAATTAATTTTAATCATATTTTCATTTATTGCTTCCCAAGATGTAACATTTTTCTTATATTTCGTCAATATCAGAACAGAAACTCTTCTTTTTCATCTAATATCTTTTGGTAAAAATATCCACTCCACTGTAAAAATATAGATATTTATCCTCTATAAACACTCCCTGTCCTTTTTTTGGTTTCTGTTAATACAATAATATCCTGTTGTATTCCGTTTAATTCCGAGGTAATTAGTCCCTTTTTTTATTAATACTTTGTATATTTAACATAGAATGTGCATTGCTCTTTTCCGTAGCCTTTGTCGCTACCCTGAATATCCAGCCAGCATATTTCTGTTGGGCTTTTTAGCATTTAAGTTTTTTCCGAGAATGGGGGAGCTGGCCCCCATGTCTCGTCCTCCAACCTGTGGGTTGGGATTTTTAATCAAGGTTTACTTCTGTAGGATAGTGGCTGTCACCACCTGCGAGTCCCTCCTAAAGTATTAAAATATTTTCAAATCATTGGAACAAATGGACTTCAATTTTTTATTTTTATTAAAAATTTGTGATACAACATAAACATTCAATTTAAATCTCGTATCGAAGATCGTGTATATATTATAGATTTTTTCCAGAAGGTTTAACATAAATTACTACATGATATGTTTATATATATAAGGCCTTTTGCTTTATAACATGCCGAAGAATGTTTGCTTTTCAGTCGGAGTGTGCCCGACATTTGGTCTCCCACTCTAATCGAAGGGCATTTCGATGCGAAGTGTGTGGAAAAAGAGATACAAGTATAAGAGCAGTTTAATCAGACATGCGAAAAGTCATCGTAGAACAGTGATGAACATTTTAAAAATAATTTAAAATAAACATTTTAAACAACTATGCCTTGACTCTGGTCCGACCTAGGGTACGTTCGTAAAGTCGAGCGAGTTAAACGCGTTAATAACGAATCGTTTTAAAAGTAGTAGTCTCGCTCAGTGCACATGCTCTGCGGTGATGACGTTTCGAACGAAACGCTAACGAAGTTCACGAAGGAAAGAGTTAGTTCACTTCGTTAAGAAAATGANGGCTGCCCGATGACGTTTTACCGAATTATAGGAATTGTTTTTACCATGTTTGTACGGACACCGTCGCAATTTTTTCGCCGTCATATAGGAATCCGAACTATAGGAACTCGTGTTATGGGGGTCGACTGTATATCAAATTATTCAAACTTCAAGACACCATTAAAAATAAAAATTGCATTATAGTGAACATTTTTTTTAGTTAACTGTATAAGTTGGAGACCCCACAGAAAGCCCGTCGCGACCCCCTTCTGGGTCGCGACCCATAGGTTGGGAACCCGTGTACTAGAGTGTTTAAACTGTGAATTAAAAGGTGAAATGATAGAAATAACTGTCCACTCGAAGCAATCTAAGAAAAATATTGCTGATAAGGCTACACTAGCAACATTCATATCTTCGATTTTAGAAACAGCCATTTAGTTATAACGAATCGTTCGAAAAGTCTAACTAAATAAGAATACTTATTTAGTTAGACTTTTCGAAGATATGAATCGATACGATCGTTCGACCTTACGAACGTACAGTACATAGTACTTGTCAACCGAGTATAACTCGCTAAACTCAACATAATAATAGGGGTGCCGGGAATTTTGTTTAATGGTTTCGGGGTGCCGCCAGACAAAAAGTTTGAGAACCATTGGTCTAAAGTATAAAGAATCTCTGAGATCCAACATAGTAGTGAATATAATTGTAAAATCGATAAAGATAATTAAAAATATACTTAGCGTTACACACGCGGTAATTTATTGTAACATCTACCAGAAAAGTGTGCGATAGAATTTTATTATAAAACTTGTATTCTAATCCTAATCCTTCTCCCGCGTTTCCGCTTCACTGGCATCGGCCATCGTACAGGCCAAATATCCTATGTCGTATATATCGATAGTCTTTAGACAGAATATGTATTCCACTTTCGGTAGTAATTATAATAAATCCAGGTGAATGGGTATATCCGAAAGGAATTACACGAAAAATTCAAAGAAACCTCCAAAAACAAAATAAGAGTCGAATCCAACGTACGATAGAGTTTTCCTCTCGAAAATAAACAACTTTCAACGAAAGTCTAAAGATTTTATTACTACTACTACTACTTAGACGGAACGGTGACAGAGACCACGTGAGGTAAACAAAAACCACGTGGCCGCGGCTAATTTACATATCCACGCGGCGATAATAAAACAAACAAATTTTATGGAACAAGATAAGAATATTATTTATCGAAATAGATATTTATATTATTTATGTAATTAAATAATAAAAAAAGCAAAAATAAACGTAAGTTTATTATCGGAGTTTGACGTCTTCTGCGGTACTACACGGTTTCGCGCGGGAAAAAAGTCGTCTGTCGAAGAGTCTTGGCGACGATTTTCTGTTCGGAGGAAAAACGAAGATTAATTCACCTGCTGAAGGTAAGCATTAGTTTAATTAAGCTTGGTTATTTTGGAGGCATGCCATTTTGGATATAGACGAAAGAGGGAAAAAACGATATTAGCCGCTATACTCGGTATCCTAATATGATTAAAGTCCAGATACGTAGACTGTCATGGCGGCTCATCTGTGATTCCAGCAAACAAAAGAAAGGAAACAATGGGGACGCACGTTCTAACCTAACCTAACCTATTCTAATAAATTACCATAATTATTACCAACTAAATTATTAGAATAGGTTAGATTAGGTTAGAACGTGCGTCCCCACTGTTTGCTGGAATCAAAGATGAGCCGCTATGACGGTATACGTATCTGGACTTTAACCGAAAATAATATAAAAGTATTTATATTATTTGTACTGGACAATTTCAAAACTATTTTGTATAATAATTTCACTCTGACTTAACGGCTATTTTGATATTATTGATGACAAAAGTTTAAAATCATTGATTTCCTTATCTGTCCAATATTTTTGTTTGACAGAGTTGAATTGTTTGGACCACGTGGCGTGAAAAATTTTGTCAAGGTCTTCGTGAGAATGTGACACGAGTGAAAGAGGACCACTGAGTTATAACATTTGCACGTGCAACTATATGTTGTTGATGTCCAAGGTTCTAGAATATAACCTTGGTTGATGTTGACCGACATACACCATGTGTATGTTGTGATTGAATACCTGTAAATCAAATTAGCAAGCAGTGACACTAGTGAGACTTTATTAAACTAATTTTTTGCATTTTTTTCGTGAAGGCATGAAATAATATTTTGTACCATAAATGGTACTGAAATATTATAATGTACTTAAAATCTAAGTGTACAGTACTTTCAATATACTCGAAAGGGCAAAATGTACCCGAAAAGTACAAATGTACTAGGAATGGCAACGCTGGAGCGACCTCTCTCGACCGTTTCAATCTCGACTGAAACGAAATTCAATCGTGATCAACTCGAGACTGGCGTCTAATTACAGAACGATTCCGAGCAATAGTTCTGCTTTTTACCACGAGATGTCGCTAATTCGTGACGTCAAGAAGACGGACTACTATAATTCCTAGTGTAAATACTGTTCTTAGTGTAAATACTAGTAAATAAAAAACTTAAACCAACACCTTAATATTCGCTGAGAGATTTTTAATGTAACAAACGTTTTCGATCTATTCGATAGATCATCTTCAGGTTAAAAAGAATATTTCTTAAATGGAACAACCATTTCAAAATTCAAAAAATATAAATAACCAATAACATTTCCATTAATAAGAATAACTAATACATTGTAAATGATACAAAAAATAAATAACGTATTACTCGTACCAAATATTAATACTGTACTATCTATCCTAAGTAGACATAATTTCTTTTAAAATATACTAGTGTTCATGCGCCTCTTGTAAGTTTTTAACGGCATATTTCCAAGCTGAAGGAAGACCCTCTGCGTCCCTTGCGTTAATGCAGTTTTCTTTTAGCTTGCTTCTGTAAATTTCTATCTTTTCAGCTGTTCTTGCCAAAGTTGGGGAGTGTATCTGTTTTATGATTTTCGCTTCATTCCATCGAACCAAGGATCCTTCCGCTTGCGCCATCTGGGCTAGTACTGTTGTATTAGAACCTTTTCTAATATCATACTTGTGTTCTTTGATCCTTATTCCTAGGTTCCTAGTAGTAACCCCTACATAATCTTTATTTATACCTATTAGCTGGTTCTCGTAGGGAATCTTATACACACCCGCCTTATCTTCTTTTTTAACTAACCCTTTATCGTTTCTAAGTATTTTATACAAATTCGGAGCTTTTTTTAAGATCACCCTTGTATCCTTTGTATTTGCTATTTCTTTCATAATCCCTCCTAAATACTTGTTGTAAGTAAATTTCGTGTATTTAGATGAATCTTGTCTAGTGCCTTTATCATTACTGGCCTCAAATTTTTTAATAATTCCCTCGATAACATTAGTCTTATAACCTAATGCTCCTGCTATCTGTATAGTTCTTTCCATCTCTATATCCCGGTCTATAACGTTTTCACAGTATATAAAAGCCCTTCTAATCAATGCTCTAAATGTTGCTAACTTATATCTATAAGGGTCATTAGAGCTTGCAGGGATATATAGTGGGCTATGTGTTGGTTTAATGAATACGCTAGTGGATATACGCCCTTTGTTAAATACGATATTAATGTCTAGGAAATGTACCATCCTGGAGCTTTTTTGCTCTAGCTTCAGGTTCAGTGTTTCCCAAACTTTTTTAGGCCATGCCCCACTTTAACATTTCTAAAATCATCATGTCCNCATCTCATGTACATGGACGACATAAAACTTTATGCATCCACACAGAAACAACTTCATCAACTCCTACAAATCACACACTCATACACTAAGGACATACAAATGGAGTTTGGCCTAGACAAATGCAAAAAACTTCACATAGAAAAAGGAATCCTGAAGAAAGAAGATTTTGCACTTGGAAATGGAGACGTTGTTGAATCTATGGAAGAGGACAAGTTCTACAACTATTTAGGATTCCAGCAGGCCAAACTAACAGAACATACACAAATAAAGCAAATATTAATTAAAGAATATCAAAGTAGGTTAAATGCTATCCTCAGAACACAGTTAAAGCAATAAACACATATGTCGTCCCAGTACTCACATACTCTTTTAATGTGAGTACTGGGACGACATATGTGTTTATTGCTTTAACTGTGTTCTGAGGATAGCATTTAACCTACTTTGATATTCTTTAATTAATATTTGCTTTATTTGTGTATGTTCTGTTAGTTTGGCCTGCTGGAATCCTAAATAGTTGTAGAACTTGTCCTCTTCCATAGATTCAACAACGTCTCCATTTCCAAGTGCAAAATCTTTCTTCAGGATTCCTTTTTCTATGTGAAGTGTTTTGATTTGTCTAAGCCAAACTCCATTTGTATGTCCTTGTTATATGAATATATGATTTGTAGGAGTTGACAAAGTTGTTTTTGTGTGGATGCATAAAGTTTTATGTCGTCCATGTACATGAGATGTGACAGCATAAAGTGTGTTGTTTTTAATGTCTGATATTGTAACCATATTGCATGTTGTTTAACATGATGGATAATGGGTTCAGGGCTGGGCAGAACCAGAGAGGACTCAAGGAATCTCCTTGAAAAATTCCTCGCCTAATGAATATTTTGTTTGTTTGTATGGAGTGATGGATGTATTTTGTACATGTGTAGAATATGTAGCAGCCAACTGTGTGGAACACTGTCGAATGCTTTTCTGTAGTCTATATATGCCATGTGTATGTTTCTGTGTTGTTTGTGTGCTTGCTGTAGAATGACTGAATCTATGAGTAAGTGTTCTTTGCATCCCCTGTGATTTCTATGGCAACCTTTCTGCTGTTCCGTAAGAATGTCGTGTTATTCAACATGTCTGTATATTTTGTTTACGATACAGGATGTCAATAATTTGTAGTGTGTTGGATGACATGTGATTGGTCTGTATTGTGTGGGGTCTGTGGTGGTGGTGTTTTTAGGTTTCATGTAGGTGATGCCCTGAGTAAGAAATTTTGGCATGTCTTGTGTGTTGATGATGTGTTAGATGTTTAGCTAGTTCCTGGTGCAGTGATGTAAACTTTTTGTACCAGAAATTGTGAATGTTGTCTACACCAGGTGTCTTCCAGTTGTATGTTTTGTTAACAGAGTAGCAGATGTCGTGTATGTTTATTTCAGCACAGGGCATAGTTGGTATGCTGTGCAAGTTTCTGTTCTCCTCCTCGATCCAGCCTGCATGAGCATTGTGTGTAACAGCATTGTACCAAAGAGAAGGCCAATAAGTTGTGAGTTCTTCTGTTGGTGTGCCACTGTGCTATGTATCAGTGTTTGTTTTGGTACTGATTTGTCTGTAGAAAAGTTTTTCATTGTTTGTGAATAATTTATTTTGTTGTTTTCGTACTGTACATGTTTTGTATCGTTTGAGTCTATGTGCTTTGGCTGCGAGTTTCTGTTTTAGTGTATCAATGTATTCTGTAATGTGTGTGTTGTGATGTTCATGTATTGTGTGTGTTTTAATTTTCCTGTTGTGTGCTATTATCAATATTTGTTGATGGATTATCCTGACAGGTTACATGATCTTCATTAATAATGTTAAATGTTTCTATCTGTTGATGTATTTTATCATCAACCTGCTGTTTGATAAGTTCAAGTGTTGTTTGTGGGATAAGGTTGTTGTGTATAATTGTTCTTTTTTGATCAACAACACTTTGTTTGGTGACAGTGAGGTGAGGATATTTTTGTGTGAATCTATGGTGTTGGTGTTGTCTGTATGCTGTCATGTTTGTTTCGAGTTTTGTGATTGCGTAGTAAGTACGGATGATAAACTTGTTCATTTCTATTGTCCATTTCATCCATTGGCGTGGTTTTCCAGCCTTTGTGGTCTGTGGATGCATTGCCACAGAAACACCAAGGCTAGGTTGATTCCTCACATCTGTTGACGGCATTGCAGTAGCCATGCTTGGGCCGGCGCTGCTTTCGCCACTGGTAACCAAGGGAGACTGGAGCCTATTTTTCGAACATGAGCCTCTGCCTAACCCACGAACCCGGACCTTGTTAACGCAGGCAACGTCCAAGCCGGTATCACACTTTGATCTGGTTACTACCATGATAATTATCTCCACAGTATGTGGGTGTGGTCACTCTTAGCTTCATTTCTCCCCATAGACCTTACTGGCATGGGTGTCCCTACCAGAAGCTTGTGCTCCAACCTGCATTGCTCTATGGTTCAGTAAAATTACTGGGCTCTCCCACCACAACCAGGTGGTGACCATGGGAGAGTTATTATTATTATTAGTTAAATTGTTGCAGGATGCAGTGACAAAGGAGCTAGATTAATGAGATAGAGAACAAAATTGAGCCAGGAACAGGTTAAAGAGAGAAGAGGATTAAAAGTCAATAGTGATCAATCTTTAGAATCGAATATACAGTTCTTGAAATCAAATTGGGCTGTTAGATTTGACT